TGCTCCCAAGTAAGCTCTTGAATTGAGAAAAAGAATTGCAGTATTTTTTTATTGAAAAAGAACTATTATCAGAAAGTGAGGAAAAGTTGCAACTGAGGGGAAGAAATCCTCCTAAAACAACTGCAAAAAGTAAGTAGAAATCAACAGAGGTAACAACTTTCTAATCCATTTGTAGAATAGCCAAGAAGATATCTCTGAAGAAACTGTGGCCTTTGCCAAAAGAAGCAAAGGATCCATCCAAAGGAAAGACAAAAGGTTGTTGTGATCCTTGAAAAGTCTAGCGTTGCGCTCCAACCACAACAACCACAAATTAGCAAAGAGGAGAGCTCATCCCCATACCATCCTAGCTATCTTCTTAACACCCCCTCCCACATAAAATCAAACATATAAAAAACCATGGACCCTAGTCTAAAAAATATAAAAAAATATCATGGCATGGTCTTAGAGGGGGATTAAGATTGATAGATTTCATTTTCTAGGAAACATTGTCGAAGGAGATTGATATGTTTGGTGAAAAGAGTTTTTTTTTTTTCTTTGTATGAGATGTTTCGAGATTGTGGAAAACATCTATGGGCTAGGAGCTTGAGAGGTGTTAACACTTTTAGTATGCCACTAGTTGGAGGGAATTCTAGAGGAAGGTTTGAGAAAGGACAAGATCATGCTAGGTCTTTTTCCAGGGAAGTTAAGTGGAGCGACAATGGCACCCTTGCGTAGAAAAGATCTGTTAAAGAGAGTGTATTACATGCAATTAGGCTGAAAGACATTAGGTAAAATATACCCTATGTAATTAATATAATTAATGATCTATTTTCTTTTTAATTCTAGAAAACCTGTATACATAGAGCTGTGATATTTAGTAAAATGTAAATTCGCCCATTCTTAATATGGTATTAGAGCTCTAGGTTGAGAAGCCTTAGACTCTTTCATAAACTCTATTCTCCTTTCATTGCTGAAATAAGAAAATTCTGAAGTGGGTCAGATTTCATTGTCGACCGCCACCCTCCAATTGTCGGCCACCATGAGCCCGGCCATCTCCACCATAAGTCGACTTCATAGTCGGTCCTAGCCGCCAGAATCACATGGCCAGAAGTAGCAAGAGGGAGCTGCTCAGCCGCTAGCCACTGGAACTGCGTGCCTAGACTTACATAGCCTCTATTTGGCCAGTCACGTCTCAGCCGTGCGCTCAGCTTCCTCTGCCACGTGCTCGGCTTCCTTGATTGTGTCAGCCATCTGCACACATAACTAGCTGTGGCTCCTCTTACAACGCGTACCTCTGTCCAATTTGCTAGGACCTGCGGGCCACCTTCTCCAGCCACATGCCGCCTCCTTCCTCAGTCGCTCTAGGCGAATTGGTTCTGTCTAGGACTGATAGCCACACTACCTTTTGGTAACATCCTTCCCATGATTTTTTATTTGACTTTAATTACCTTACAACTCTTACAACATGTTGGAGGTTGCATCCCAACTTACAAGACCAAATTTCCACATGGGGAATCTTACCCAAAGCAACATCGAATTTCAGCTAATTCAGGCTGCTTATCGCTTCATCAGGAAGGACTATTGAGTTGGTAGCAATTAATTCAGATTATTTTCAATGGAAAAAGAATACTCAACCACCTTGTGGGCACTAGACCAAAACTAGGAGACCCAACCTTTGACACGTGGGATTAGGAAAACTCAATAATAATGACTTGGCTCTGAAACATTATGTTGTCAGAGATAGTTAAAATAGTTATATTCATTTCTACAACCAAAGAAGTGTGGAACGCAATTAGGAAACTTACTCTAAAGTTAACGATGCAACCAAAATTTATGACTTGAACGTCAAAACATAGTTCATAAAGCAAGAAAATAGGGTAATCACTGAATATTTTAACATATTGAAAGGTTGGTGGCAGGAATTGGATCAATATCGTAATCTTACTACGGACCTCAATAGGGATGCAATCCGTCTCAATCCAAATCTTGGGTTAAGGTGAAATATCATCATTAAATGAGGTAATTGCTACTGTATCAGCAAAAGAGAGTAGAAGAAGGATCATATTAGAATCCTGACCCACTAACATTCTAGACTATCATTGATAAGATGAGGATAGACAATATCTTTTTTTTTTTTAAATAACAAATATAAATGGTATCATTAAGTATAGGCACCAAGGAGGTGCAGACCAATGTACAAAATGAGGATGGACATTATTTATTCTCCAACTTGAGGGGAAGAACTAAAGAGATTGTATATATGTAATTAGGCTAAAGGACATTAGGATAAAATACTCCATATGTAATTGATGTAATTAATGGTTTATTTTCTTTTTGATTCTAGAAAACTTGTATACATAAAGTTGTGATATTTTATAAAATACACATTCAACAATTCTTAAGAAGATCCATTCACAATAATCTTACCATGTTTAATCACCCAACCACTCTTCTCCTGCCCATATTTTACCCTAATCACCTTCCACCAAAAACCTTCCTGGTTGATCATAAAATTTCAATGTCAATTACCTAGAAATACTCTATTAAAGCTCACCAAAGACTCGATACCAAGTCCCCTCAGTTCTGAAGGAAGTTTGACTACACATGCTACTATATGGAATCTTCTTTGTTTTTTAGTACGGCCCGAAACAACATTGGGTGAAGCTTTCGAATTTTTGAAGTTTTTTTCCACTTTCTTCTTTCTACCATGTGCCTTTGGAGACAATTCCACTCACACTTTTTGCCCAAAGAAATGACCAACTTAATTCCCGAAGAAATCAAGAAAAGAGAAGGATCTCTATTTTCTTTTGCAATGCCTAATGACAAGTTAACTTTCCTCTGGAATCTTTTTCTCTTGGAAAAAAGATCAATTTCCTACATCTGGACATGGGAGAATGCCTGTCTTAGATCAATTTTGCGGATACCCAGTATATTGAACCCATCCTAGCAAGTATCTTCCATACTTGAAGTAAAAAGTATATTATCTCTATTGCTTTGCAGTTGAAAATGGCTACTCACCTTTATAATATATCATCATCCTTGGAATCATTGATTATAAATGTATATTTTTCATATTCAGGCAGCAATTTATCAAGAAGCAAGCCTTCATCTACTCTCAAACTTGAATAAATTTCATCTTCAGAACATAATAACCTATCATCATTCATATTACAGTCTTTGGCGCCTTATATTGATATACTTTTCTTTTTTTTTTTAATTAAAAAAAGTGATGAGTATAAAATTGGAACTAGAAAGAAAAGATGCTTTATTTAGTTGTCTTTGGGGCTCAAGAAATTTCAGATTTACAGTGATTTCTTCATATCTTCTTTACGTATTTTACTTTGGCAATGCGATAATAGATGACCTTAAATGTTGGATGTGTACCATGTTCTGTACAGTTTTCTCATAATGTTTTTGGTCACTTGTTGCAGATTGTTTTTAAGCAACTTAGACAAGATGATTCTTCATCGTCAGTTACCAAGCCTCGCAGTGACTCTTTGATGGCTCAGGTTTCCATTGTGGTTTATACTTGACTAATAGAAGTCGTGTTATTCTAATTAACTGTCATAGAACAGATGAAACTCTGACATTTGAAACAACTTAAGTCATACATTTTGTTAGCTTGAAATATGCCTCCAAAATGATTAAATTGTTAAGGGATGTTTTTTTCTCCTTGAATGGTTTTGTTTTCTGCATGATAGTTTTTCTTTTCTTTCTTTCTTTCTCAATGGTAAAATGACATAGTTCTTTCTTAAATATTCATTTTTGATTTGCCTTATTATGGTTGGCTGGTTGAATACCAAGGAAATTGCTAGCAAATACTTCGAGGATTTCTAAAAGACTGTACTTTCTTTATGACAAAATGTGGCTGATCTAGGGAGTTTCAATGTTTTGGAGCTTCTTTAGGCACCATTGTCTTATATTTGTGTAAAAGTAAAAGTTGATGGCTGCACTGAAAACTAATGGAAAGAAAACTTAATCAAAAAGAAGATTGTGTTGCTGTAGAATTTTAAGATTGACATGAATTTACTGTTGCTGTTTCTATAGCTTCGGGATTTTTTGTGATTGAGTGAATAGTTGCTAGGAATTATGTTTTTTTTTATAAGAAGAAATGCTGTATATTCAGAGTATCAAGGGAATGAAAAACCTGTATGCATAAATCTATACAGGTCTAACAAATATCAATAAAATTCCCAAGATCGTCACTGAAATGCAGAGGTTGACCTCTAATGAAAAATGCAAGACCTGGAACCAAGTGTCCTTAAATCTATCATAAAATTAGAGTTAGCTTCCATGAAAGCCCTTTTATTCCTTTTATTCCAGATGACCCAAATGGTAGCAAGAGGGATAAGCTTGTCAATCTTCTTGTTACTCTGAAATCCTTTCCATGCCCACAACTCTTCCCTGCTAGTACCGGCCACGACCTAGCTCAGACTCAATAAACCATCCATAGAGTTGTCTAAGATTGGAAAGGAGAAATGGAGCTTCGTTCGTTGAAACTTTGTCTCAACCAACAAGGGAGGGGAGCCGGGTAGGGCAGGAGGGGAAGGCGGGTCGAGTAGATTTGAATTTTGAAAATAGAAAAGGAGGTCACGTGATAGGGGATAGGCGGGAATCCATGAATGGGAAATGAAGAGGGGCCGAGACTGGGAGGAATAAATGGGCCGAAAGGAAGGAGGAGATTGTTATGGGCTACAAAAGGAAAGTGGGTGGACCAACCTGGACCAAGCAGAAAACAGGATCGGAAACGTGTTCAAATTTAGAAACCAAAATGGGTCAAATTGACTTGCCAAAAAATAAACCCGTAATGGTCCTAGACATGTGTATTTTGTCTGTACTCGAAAAAGAAAATAAGAAAGGAGAGAGTGAAGATAGGGCTCAGGTGGAGAAGGTGGACGACGAAATGGGAGGCAAGATGTCGAAGGAGGATGAAGAGAACAAGGAGGGGAGTGAAGACGGGGCCGAAATTGAAACTTTAGTGGCAGATCACATAGAGGGAGAAGGAGAGGAAGGATGCAAGGGTGTTATTGATGTTTTTTGGGAGGTGGCGTATGGTGTGCCGAGGATTAACCTCTATGATATTTTTTTTTTTTGAATAAAAAGTATAGTATATATTATGTTAGCATAATATATACTACCACTTATGTACAAAAGCTTTACATCATGTTAGCATATCAATGACATTCTCAAAATTTATATCATTAATAATGTCATGTTCTAACAAAATAAAAGCAAAATAGTGAATCCTCATATCTTTTAATCTATTGGAACTATTCTCAATACTATCAAAAGGCCTACCATTTTTTTTCTTCTAAATGACCGAAAAAAGTCAAAGGAATCAATTTAGCAATCTCTTTTTTAACATAAAGCCCGTCCCACGCCCATAATTCTCTCTCAACAGACCCCGCAACAACCCAATCAATCCCCACAAGGCTGTATATCAAACACCATAAGCTGTATACTAACAGGCACCATAATAAGAGATGGTTACACGATTCCTCCACTTGAAAGCAGCAATAACAGCTGTTAACCAACACTCTACCTCTAATTCTCAACTTATCAGTAGTAAAAATACTCTCCCAACAAGCCTCCCAAGCAAAAAAAGCCATATGGAGTGGAGCCTTTGTTTTCCAAATTTGCTTGGCTGGAAAATTATGCCTCGTCACATTCACTTTACTGCTAAGATGATTGTAGTAAGACTTGACTAAGAAATTGCCACTTTTTTCAAATTTCCATTCAATCCGGTCCACTTTGTTGTCAACCACCTGCCCAGCCAGCATTTTCATCAAACCCTCATATTGAGCAACCTCGCAATCATTCAAATTCCAAATGACATTGAAGATCATACAATTTTGTCATTAACAGCCAGGTAAGCTTCCTCAACTGTCATCTCCTTAGATTGTGCAATATTGAAAATTCTGGGAAAGTGACTCTTTAAACAACCCTCCCCCAATCCAATCATCCTCCCAAAAAATGATCTTGTTACCTCTCCCCAACTTCCAAGTGACATGTTGAAAGTTGCTCCATTGCATTAAAATTTTTCGCCATAAGCCTTTACCATGGGATATGGGAATTCTGCTTATAAAACCTCTATGATATAATGGTGATGGATGAGTCAACAGAGGAGGCGTTGGACGTGATGCCCATTCAGTGTGATGATCTTCAAAGGATCCAAGACCAAATGTACTTGGTAGAGGAGGGAAACAGGGGGGAATTGTATTCTGAGTGAGTTCAGAGAAATTTCCTGAAGGTCAGGAAAGTGTTTGAGGTTTCTTTTCATGGGTTGGAAGATAGAATACTCAGTTTGATAAAGGAGATAGAAATTCGATATTTAGAGGAGGAGAAAGGTAAAAAATCTGTGAAAAAAATTAAAAGGAAGCCGAGGGAGGGGGAATGCAGAGAGTTAAAAAGGCTATAGTGGTTAGTTAACTATGAAGGGAAGAAGACTAGTAGAAAGGAGGAGGGGGTTCAGGATAGGGAATCATCTCCATGATTGGGAAAATAATTTCATGGAATGTGCGTGGTTTGAACGATAGGAAGAAGAGAGGTGTGATTAAAGGGTGTATTAGAAGATGGTAGCCTGATTTGGTTTGTTTTCTGGAAACCAAAATGGAGAAGGTTAAACAGCAGATAATAAATAACTTA